GCTGAGCCGCATTCTCTGTACTTATTATTACTATTATTTTTTTTTAACAAAATATAACATGAAAAAATTATAGATTTCAATTTCATTTATAAAATCATAAAAATGCTGTGCCAGAAATTGTGCTTAAGTAATGCCATAATTCAATTATATCTAGTTGTTGTTACTACTTTCTTTTACAAAAAAAAATTTAAACATAATTTCAAACAAAAAAATTTTTTTTTTTGCTTTTCTTCTCTTTTCTTATGCATTTCTTGTTTAAATTTTAATGATTTTGTGTTATTTACAACCAACTCGTGCTCATTAACACTAAAAAAACTGATCTTCATTGGCTGAAATGCTTGAAATTTTTATTTTTTAAACATAAAACAACAAAATAGCTATTTTTGGTATTATGAATTAAAACGCGTTTGCCAAATTTTCGTTTTCAACACAAACTTATATAATTGAGGCATGGGTAATAATTAAAAAATGTATGTTAACTTGAAATTAGCTTAGACATGGCATATTGAAAATTTAGCTATCATTATTTTTTTTTTCAAATAATTTTTTCGAGCTCGAGTCGTAAATTCTGTGTATTTCATTATATACAGCCGCCTAAAAGTATACACCAAACTAAAATAGTAATTTTTTTTTAAATTCAAAAATCTTTTGCCATAACACTACGTGGTATCAGCGAAAGTTACGTAAATGCATATTTTTTGCATAAATTATTATAAAGCTCTAGCGCAAACACATTTTTACTTAACAAATGTTTTCTATAATTGGTTTCTCTGCTTCATACGTTCTCCGCTAAATTTTAAAAAAGATATCCTTCAGAAAGAGCCAGAGCCTGTCTTTTAAATGTTGAAATAACTAAAATTTATAGCTTTCACATCAGTAACCATAATATTTTAATACATAGACTTTTCAGACCAAATATGTTGTATATACATACATATTTTATTAATAGCGAAAAATTTAACATAAAATGTTAAAAAATTATAATTCGTTTCCAACATAATATTATAACATGTAAAAATTGGATTAAATTTCATAAAAAAACAATTTCCCTGCACTCACTTGTTCCGGCTCGCCATTTACATTGCCATGTCTTAAAACTCAGTTTAAAGTGTCTTATGGCAATATATCTTTCATTTCAACTTCGTTATTTACG